ACAGATTAATAGAAATTTAAGATACAAGAACTAGGTAGGAATATGCCTAAGCCATTGGCCAAGCAGCGTTATAACTAATATAGTTTCTGTGTGATTATTCAAGTATGGGTGGCCAGGAAACGAGGATACAGTCTCCAATTACATCCTATGTTTGTTTGACCCATTTTGTGGAATATTTATCTATGTAAAATTGTGTTACATTTGTTTATGCTACGGAATAATACTTTAACTGTGTAAAGGTGTGTTGTGTTTGTTTCTGCTGCCTTTGTTAATGATGTAGAGTTGTCTTACATTGGTTTATGCTGTGTTTGTTTAATTATATAATGATGGTCTTGCCTACCTAAGGCACCTGATTGGTCTAATAAAAAGCTGAAGATCCAATAGTGAAAGAAGGAAGGAAGGAAGGAAAGAAAGAAAAGAAGAGAAAGATATGTGCTACTGGCCTGTATGGCTGACTAGTGTGACTGTTTTTGCATTCTGGTCTTCAGACAAGCTTTATTTATTTATTAAAATATAGATGAATATCACTACGGTTAGATGACCTACCCAGGCTTGCCCTAATACAGACACTTAAGGATTAACTAACTGCAGGTTAGGTCTCCAGGATAGCACCAATGTTCTAGTGTAAGTAGCCTACCTTAGGGCTTGCAGAGGTGGCTCAAAGTTACTAGCACTTGTTCCTCTCGCAGAGATTCACAATCATCTGTAATTCCAGTTCCAGGGGAATCCAACAACCTCTGAGTGTACCAGGCACACTGTGGTGCACAGATATACATGCAAGCAAAACATACACAAAATAAAAATGAAGCTTTTAATAAACAGCTCACCCCATTCTTTTGCCAACAATACAATTAATTAAAACCCAGAAATTAGAGGCTTACTTTTTAAAAATACACCCTGCTTTATTAACTCTTTTAACATGAAGGGTGTTCTTATGTGTGGCTGTCTGTGCACTGTGTGGCAGCACCAGAGAGAAGGGCGGTGCTGTGATCTAATTAGATTGCACACCAGAGTAGGCTATTCAGAAATAGAAATAAGAAATAACCAGTATAGATGACAAAAAATTATTAAGTGGAAGCTATGAACCCATGGAGAATAAATAAGGGAAGTTTAGAAGATGTCTAAAAGCAAAAAGAACTCATGGCTTCCTTTTTATCACAAGCAAACAATTTCCTATCCCTACCACATACACTGTGAGGAAGCAAACGCAATGGCCCAGCCAGGCAAACCTGGAATCCCAGCACTTGGGACTCTGGGACAAAAGGGTTGGGAGTTTGAGGCCAGCCTGGGCTACATGGTAGATTATCGTGTAGAACACACGAGCATAGTTCATTTGCAGCAAAGGGACTGAACTGCAGTTCGTCCTGGGTGAGAGGGTACAGCATCCTTGAAGCCTTGGGATTGCTCTCCCCAGCAAGAGGGGTAAGGAACACTGGGAGTTTTTTAGACTTTAGAATAGGCCTAGCAAAAGTGAAGACACACTGGGGTGGGTATATTCTCTTTTTACCCTCAGATAAATGAAGTTGACTTTGTGGGAGAAGAGTCTCCTTGGCTGTTAGTACTGAGGGTGTGGCTGAAATCTGGTTTGGGGCACAGTGAGCATGGAACCTTTTCATGCCTGAAAGCCAGCAGAAAAAGCTGCTCAGGTCCTCTGTCATAGCACAAGGACACCAGCCAAAACATTATCATGAGCATTGTCGGGATGTCCTCAGACTCACTGCCTGAGTGAATAAGACGCTGTGGAGCCAGCTCATCCTAAACAGTCTTAAATCCTGCACAAACGAAATTTCAGGTGATCAAGATATATGGCAAAATTAGAACTTCAGATAAATACCTCTGAAGGATTGGTAAATTGCTGCCATGTGGAACTTCTAAGGAAAGAATGAATCATTAAAACACATTTAGGATTTGTTTCTGCTGCATCCTATGAACATTGTTTAGATTCGGTTTTAAACAAATTATTTTTAAAAAACCAGTTGACAGATACTATAAACACCATAAGGAACTGATGGATTTGAGCAGTGTAATCATGTTTTTGTTGTTATTTTAGTGTTTATGTGTTTCAGATATGTGTTTTGAAATGTTAGTGTGAGTTTCTCATATCTGAGGGCTGACGAAATGGATCAGTGGGTAAAAGCTGCCACGGAAGCCTGAAGAACCCGAGTTTACTCTCTGGAGCCCATGTGAAGGCTGGGGTGCCTTGCACTGCACCTGCAGTCTTGGTGCTCTGCTGTAAGATTGGGGGTGGAGACAGGAGAATCAGCTGATGCTTATGAGCCATCTGATGTTTGGAGTGCACAGTAAGAGACTGCTCCATGGTTGTCAGTGTGATACAAGCTAAAGTCATCTGCGAGGAGGGGACCTCAGTTGAGAAAACGCCTCCAGAAATAGGCCTGTAGAGCATTCTCTTTTTCAGCAATTGATGGGAAAGAGTCCAGCCTGCTGTGGCTGGTGTCATCCGTAGGCTGGTGGTTCTGGGGTCTGCCAGTAAGACTGAACAAGTCAGGAGGCACACCTCCCTGTGATCGCTAGCTCCTGCCTCCTGGTTCCTGTCCTGTTTGAGTTCCTGTCCTGACTTCCTTTGAAGATGAACTATGAGGTGTGAGGTGAAAGAGGAGTACCCTTGGCTAATACAGAGATCCTGCCTCAAAAATGAGGCAGAATGAGAGAACTGACTTGAGCTGTGCACACACAGGGTCGCGTTGTTTGTCTGAAAATAGGGAAGATAGAGGTGCAACAAGTTTAGCTGTCAGTTGATAACTTGGGGAGTGGTGAGGGACAGACACACGAGGCTCGCTGTATTATTTCTGTTTCTACATGCCTATGGAAATTCTTTTTAAAGATCCAAAGTATAATCTTAGATGCCTAGAAATATGCTTCTCAGTATGCGTCATGATTTGTGAAATCACAGTAGAAGGTGTCTGTGACAGTGGGGAATGATTCTCTGTTCCAAAATACACGTATGCGGCATGTGGCGTGGGAAGTAAGTTTACTAACTTGAGTCCTCTGCAGAAGTAAGTCTAAACTAAGTAAATGTAACTGAAAAAATTACGGGGGGGGGGGGGGGGATACAGAAAATCTGGGTTGGGGTGGAAGTATAGGAACAAGGGGAGGAATAAAAATAAAATTGATAAACCACTGTGTAGTGTAACAGCAGATGGCTCAGGTCTTGCTGAAATCTGGCTCACACAGAGAATGATCTTGATTTCCCCCTTCCAATGTTCTTGTTCCGTATCACCATACTGCTGACATCGTAGAGGACCTAGGTAGACGAAAGAGAAGGTAGGGCTCTTGTTTCGAGTTTTATACCAATAGCTAGAATGTCTCCCTTGGTGGATAAGTAATTCTTAACTGCTCTTCACATTTGTTTATTGGTCCTGTTCTGCTCCTGTGATGGTTTAGTACTCTTCTTGTGGCTTTGACCTGCGCATCCCTGTGGGGAATGGCTGGAGAGAATGACTGTGGTGGGAATGAGAGACTACATCTCTCCTGCAGGTCTTCTCCCTCCCCCTTTTATTCAGTCTGGCTACCCAGTTTGTGAGTTGATGCCACCCATGTTCATCTTGGTTCCTCCCTCATTAGCTGAGCCTATCTGGAAGCATCCTCACAGAGAATACTAGAGGCATGTCTTCCAGATTATTCTAGGACCTATCAACTTGACAGATGACTTAACTACCACAGGGATTGAACCCTGGGCCTTTCACAGACAGGCATGTATGTGTTAATGCCATTCAGCTAGATCCATAGCCCGTCAAGATTTATAACTGTACACTGGGAATGCCGGGTTTGCTCACAAAAGAGGGCAGGATGGATGTATAAGGACCTTACCCTGGAAGCTAGTAGCTAAAGAGTGATTTAATTCTGCTTTCTTTTTAATGTCCTTCTAAAGCATCAGGCATGCTGCCCCTGATGTTGGGAAGTGTTTCTTGTTATACTCTTAAGGGATGCTGTCAGGTTGATACAAGATGGCTAAGGCAAGAGGCTTGGGTGGTAAATGCACTGCCTCTGAACCTGGTAAGCTGAGTTTGATCCCTGGGACTCACATTGTGGAAGAGACAACAGCTTCCTGCAAGGTGTCTTCTGACCTTTACAGGCCCACAGTGGCACACCCAGAGATAAGTATGTGAATAAAACTGGTTCCTCTAGAAGACAAACCAGTCCAAATGGATTATATGGGTTCAGTGACAAAAGTTGACTTTCTGGGTGGTATGTCCAGGTTATGGTCATGTTAATGAAACCTTACTTGGAAGGGGTCACGCAGGGTCACTGAATTTATATCCTTTATAAAAAGTCTTCAACCTTGTTTTTAATGGTTGTGCATGCATGAACACATGCATGCACACAGATTGTGTGTGGACGTCAGAGGACAACTTTTTGGCATCAGTTCTCCTCCCATCTTACTTTTGAGACAGTCTTCTCCCTGCGTACTGTAGATTAGCCAACCCTCAAGGAGTTTCCTGGGGGTTCTCCTCCTCTGCCTCCTGTCTCAACTGCTGGGATTACAGATGTGTGCCATTACATTCTGTTTTTTGTTTTTGTTTGTTTGTTTGTTTTTTGTTTTTCGAGACAGGGTTTCTCTGTGGCTTTGGAGCCTGTCCTGGAACTAGCTCTGTAGACCAGGCTGGTCTCGAACTCTCAGAGATCCGCCTGCCTCTGCCTCCCGAGTGCTGGGATTAAAGGCGTGCGCCACCATCGCCCGGCTACATTCTGTTTTATATGTGGTAAATACCTTTATCTGCCAAGCACCTCAGTGTCCCCTCTTACTGTATTTGCGTAGCTTGCCACTTTGGTGGCATATGCTTTGATTCCTATTCTCTGATGCTATAGGAGTTCCATTTGCCTTAGGGCTTCTGTAACAGTTGTGACGGCAGCAATGAATCACAGCCGTCATTCTCGCGGTGGCTCTTAAGGGATGTCTGGCTGACCATCTGTGTTCTTGCTTGCATACCTAAGTTGTTCTTTGCTAGTTTTTTTCAGGACATGTCTCTGTTTCATTTCAGCCATGAACCAGAGAATCACTCAGAGCGCTCCAGTGAAACAGCCGCCACCCTTGGCTCCCCAGAGCCCGCAGGGAAGCGTCCTGGGTGGGGGCAACTCCAACCAGCAGCAGCAGATGCAACTGCAGCAGCTGCAGATGGAGAAGGAGAGACTGCGCTTGAAGCAGCAAGAATTACTGCGGCAGGTGAGGCCACAGGTTAGAGTCCAGCCTTTCTCTTTCACTCTGCATTCTCACACAAGAGTCTCTGCTTTTATCTTAGTTTTTGTTAAGGGAATGTTGGCTTTATAAAAGTAGGGTCTGTCTGGCCTGTCCTTGTCCTCTTCCTTGACTGACCTCAGGCTACATACCCTGTAATTCATGGTCATGCAACATGAACACCTGTGTTAGCCAGAGTGGTGGCTCATGCCTCTTACCCCGCACTTGGAAAGCCAGTACAGAAAGATCAGGAGTTCAAGACCAGCCTGAGCTTCATGAGACCCTATGTCAAAGCAAACAAAAAATAAAAGAACACATGAAAATTATCTATTTGGGCCATAGTCATTGCAGTTTGAACAGAAATCAAAGGAAGCCGAGATGCTTGTCGCAAGGGCACATGCTGCAGACGCCGTGTTTCCCAGAGCTTCGTAGGTGGAGGTGCTCGGGGCTGTCCCCCAGAGAAAGACAATTTGTACCTTAAACGAATTCTTGGTAGAGAGTATACCAGTGTGACATTTTCTTTAATGACATGTTTCAGCATTGCTAAAGCAAAGAATTTCCTTTAAGACAGATTACAGCGATCCCTGAGTTTAGACTCCGCGTGTCTTTTGGTATGTTGTTTTCATGTGGAGGGGCTGGAGGACCTGACGGCGAGGAACTTGAGACCCTTCCCTTCAGTACACACTGTTGGTGTTCAGGCTGAGTAAGAAATTTCTGAAAACAAGTTTGGGGCCGAGGTGTAGTCCAGAAGGAGCATTTGCCTAGCATGTGTGAGTTCCTGGGCTCACAGAATCCCCAGCCCCACCCAACCATTTTTGTTTGTTGTGTTTCTTACTTCAAGTATTTAAGATATTGTTGATAGTGGGAATTGGTCTTTGACTAAGCAATAGATCTTTTCCAATTTGTATATCAACTCTTTGAATAGATGGTAACGTAGTACAGTAGCCAAGAGTGTACAAAAGGAGAATCTTCTTTACTTGGATTCTCTAGTTTTGGTTGTAAAATAACCAACTATCTTGTTTACACCCCGCCCCCAAGATGTTGCAAACACAAAACTGTTTCTGCTCTTCCCAAGCTGCCTTTTCCAAATCAGAGGCACTGTGCACATTTAAAATCAGTTTTACATTATATACAGTAAGCTGAATCATGGAATCTCAGACAGACTCATCCTTAATGCTGGTCCTCCTTTATAAGGTGTCCCTGTGATCCAGATGTGACTGGCAAAGTTTATGCCAATGGATGGTGGGAGAATGGTCTTGTAAAACCATTTGTGACAGATGCACAGGGGAAGCATCCTAATGCAGGGGGCGCCCTGTTCACTCCCTCATGGGAGAAAGGAAGGGTACAATTGTACAAAAGACCAAGAACAAAGTAGCATAGCAAGGATTTCAGTGTGTGGATGTTAGAAGAAATAAAAAATAAAGCCTGGTGTGTTTTCTGTTGTGACCAAGTACTAACTGGGCAAAGTAAATGCAAGTTTCAATTTTACATGCATGTGGGCTACCAAAAATTAAGAAACTTTCATAATAAGAAGCTTACTTAATTTATAATGTCAATGTTTTCTCATTTTTACATTCATTTTTAAAGTAAAAAATGTTCTGTTGTCGCTCTGCTGTGTTACATCAGTTAGCCTGGTTTTCTTGGTGGGCCAGTTCTGCTGCTTCTAAAGAATTTTTCTAACTGTTCTTGGGTGGTGGGTCCTGAACAGAATGGCCCCCTTCTTTGGGTGACCTCTGCTACTTTTCTCTGCTACCTACTACTGCCTCGTGTTGAAGGGACAGATCTCTGTTCTGATGCTAATGGACTATTTTGTTTAGCAGCCTATAAATTGTGGACATCCTAAGGCCTCTGTGAACTTGTGTCTTATCACTGAAACATTGAAAGTTATCTCTTCCCGCTTCCTCTAACACAGAAGCAAAGAGCCTACCTGACTGTTACTAAATTTTGCCTTTGTCTTGGTGCCAAGTCTTGCTGTCTGTCTTCAGTGCTGCGACTGTGAGGGCCAGTCTGTTCCGTGGTGACTTCATTGGCTCCTGTCCTCCTTAGCCTGCTGTTCTTGGGTAGCTTGGGAATTCTGTGCTATCGTGAGATGTCTGGATACAGTTTATAATCAGCCTACACAGCCAAACCATGTGGCTTACAGTAATTTTTATCCGTCTTATTTTTTACTCTTAGGCAATACGGAATATCAATCCCAGCACAGCAAATGCTCCAAAATGTCAGGTAGGCTCTTATATGATGTTCTAGCATTGGGGGAAAAGATAACTAAATTAGGAAAGAGAGACACTGTTCCTGGCCCTGTCCTCTCTAGAGATGAGCCAGAGTGAATATGTTTGAATCATCTTTCTCCCAGGAGACTTAGCATTGCTTTTCCAAGAGACTGAGGACTGTCTGCCCGCGCCAATCCTCCCAGGGTGTGTGTGTGTGGCTTTGGAGACTCTCAGGACTTCCTAGTTAGTGCGCACACAGTATGTGTCAGTAGTCATTCTGCCAGCCTCCAAATGTGTATGATTTTTGTTTGAGCGGCTTAAAATAAATTTTTGTTTATCTCTTTTTCCTAACGTTTTAAAAGAATCATAATTGAGCTAGCAAAGAAAGTTGTTAGTTTATATACTTGCAGGCTGTTCTTGGAAATCACAGTGAATGAAAGTTTTTCTCAGTGGCCCTTCTGAAGGAAGGCATTGTAAATGCCGAAGCTCTCAGAGGAAATTGAGCTCTGCCCAGTTGGTGTTTCAGGTCTCTTTCTCCACGGGGAGCCCCAGGGCACAGTCACAGAAGAACCGGGTATTGACATGGCTGCTCTTCTGCCTGGCGGACTCCTATGTCGGCCATGGGAATAGTTGTGTTCTAGAAACCGAAGTGGATCATGCATATTTATGCTTTATAATACTCAAGTTAATTAGTACCTAGAGGGTCCATGTACCTCTCTTAGGTGAGCAGAAGCAGCCATGAAAAATGCTCCCTAACTTTCTTCCTTTGCTCCACCCTTACCTAGCTTTGCTTTGAGGAGTGAGTCACTGTATTATATAACTCAGACTGGCTTCGGCTTTTTCGATGGCTCCCCTGCCTCAGCCTCCCGAGTGCTAGGATTGCTGCCACACTGCAGCCAAGCATCTCAGGATCTTTGGAGCGGCTCTGGCTAATAAACAAAGGGTAGTGTTTGGGTTGGCTGTAGAGGCAGGGGCTACCAGAACGATACTCTGCCAGGGAATTCCTCGGCGATGACATCAGATATCATCCTCAGAGACCAGTTAACTTTGTAAGAAAATAAACTCTAACTTTTCTTTCTTTCTTTCTTTCTTTCTTCCAATTTTTGAGTCAGGCTGGCCTTGCTTCCAAATGCTAGGATTAAAGGTGTACACCACCACACTTGGTCTGAACTCTGTTCTCTATCTCATAAATGCCTTCATTAAAAAAAAAAAAACCCAAGTAAGAGAGTGAAAAATATTTAAGAGATAATTTTTGGAAATGCCACTACACATATTAAAGATTTAAAATACAGGTTTTGTGGGCATGGTTGTACAGACCTCCTGTACTTGGGAGGTGAAGACAGGAGGATCAGACGTTAGGGCCTACCTTGGCTACATAGCAAGTTGGAGACCGGCTTATACTTATATGAGACCCTTCCTGAAAACAAAATGATTGGCTGCGTATGTTTTAGTTGTCAAAATACTATTGATTGTGAAATTGTCAATCAGTATATTTGATTGAGGTGGTGTGGTCTGTGGGATTGAAACAATCATGTGTTTCTCTCTTGTCCTACACATTTTTTCCAGACTTTAAGATATCATGTAGGGAAGAGAATATTGACTTTTCTCAATTAGCACAAGGGGTTTGGTTATTACTTGTCTAACAAAAGCCAGAACAGTGAAGGAAAGCGCAGTCTGTTTATTTAATCAGTGTTTTTCATGACCCAGCAGTCTTCAGAAATAGCAGCCCAAAGACCCAGGGAAAACAGTTTTATACTGCAGTTCAGTGAGCACTAGGAGGAGGATAAAACGCTGTGCTGATAAATCAGCAGTTCTGGTACAGCCCCCTCAGATCAGGACGACTCCTGGGGTGAGGTCTCAGGCCTTCTCTGGGGCTTAGAGACCACTTTCCTTGAAGAATTGGGGCGGGGGGGAATGCTTCTGGACTTCATGGTTTGTGTTGCGGAGAAAGTTCTGTTTGCCTTGACCATGGGCAGGAGAGAGTCAGAAAGGGACATGGCCTCCGAGGCCCTTCTTCTGACCCTTTGTTTCAGAGCACTCAGCTTGCCAAAGCATCCTACTACAGTGTCAGGGAAGGCTTGGTTTTGAGGGTTGTTTGTGTGTTTTTCACGGTTTCTCTGTGTTGGCCTGGCTGCCCTAGAACTCTGTAGATGGGGCCTCCAGAGATCTACTTGCCTTTGCCTCCCAAGTGCTGGGGTTAAAGGTGTGTGTTGCCATACCTGGCAGGAAAGATCTTAAATGAAGGTGACTTCCCAGGAGGTATAGGAGAGGATCGAACCAGCCGTGTCAGCCAAACGGTGCTCACTAGTCTACGAGGGTGTGGGAAAGGAAGGTGCCAGACTTGCAAACTTCACAGCTGTTGATTGGTTTGCCCTTCCTCACCATGTGAATGGAGAAGTAGCTGTGGCTCCTTCACAGTTGATAGCACCTTGTGTCCCAGAGTGTCAGCAGGCCCCAGACTCTAGAATGTGTATTGGTGGCTTCTGTTTTGTTTTGAAACAGGCTTTTAACTATGTAGGTCTCCCTGTCTTGGAACTGCCTGCTCTGACCAGGTTGGCCTCGAACTAGCGTTCTGTCTTCTGAGTTGTGGCATTGCAAGTATGTACGTACCTATCAGCACTGTCAGCATTTTTAAGTTGCTAAAGTCAAAAACTTTTTGCAGTACTTTTGATGAGGTTAACAAATCATTTCTGTATTTAGGGTTCTGTGGCATCTGTTCTGTGGCATCCCTGTGGGTTAATGAAAACCCTCAAGGCATGTGGTGTGAATCATACTGAAAGAAAGATTTTTAAGGCATTTTTAGATCTTCGTAATTAAATATGGAACTCGTCACATAATTTATTACAGTGTATTTACAGGATTCAGGGAAATTGTCCTTACATAGAGCTTAAGTTTTCATTTCCACAACCCAGAAGAAGCTGTAGCTCTGTCAACATCTCTGTTCTGAGTATGTGCATGCACTGTGCAGGTCTTAGCCGGGCCTCGCAGCAGTGTGCCGCTTCTCAGCTGCAGAGGCCTGTGAGCGCAGTCTAGCTTGTGCCGCCAGGCCCTTCAGTGATGCAAAAACATCATCTTCTGGGAGGACTTTGCCCTCCCTCTCTGCTGAAAGTAGGGTTCTGTGCATCTGGAGTTCTCCCTCATGGCTCGTGGTGTGGTCAGTGGCCTCTGCATTTGGTGAGCTGTTCTTCATCAGTTCTTCATCCTTGCTCCTTTCCTTTCTCTCCTATCAGTTAAAGCTCTGTTTCTGAAGCCAAGTCTCACCCAGTTGCCAAAGACACTTCTCTGTGAATTTAGTAATAGCAAGGAGTTTGTCTTTCCCCCAGCCCCAAACTGTCAAGTTAGCAGACAAATTGTTTTAACACTTTTCCCAACACTAACTCTTTTCTCTGGAAAGTCCTACTTTTTCATAAATCCTAGATTTATTTAACTGGTTTCTCCAAGTTTTATTCTTTTGTGGGCATGTTAAAACATAAAAATGGAAGGGGAAAGGAGAGCGTGGATGGAGGTGCACTCGAGACAGGCAAGAAACAGGCAGTTGCGGCAAGTTCAAGGCCAGCCTGTTCTATGTTGTCAGTTCCTAGCATTCCAGGGCTGTAGTGAGATAGAGGGTTGGAGAGGAGCCACAGTCACACACTGCCAATAGTTCACTCTGTTCTTTTTACTAACTGAAGTCTCTCCAAAGGTGCTTTCTGTTTGTTTGTTTGTTTGTTTTTGTCGTTGTTTTTTTTTCTTTTTTGCTTTGAGCCCCACGTTATAAAAGACCAATCTCTAGAAATCTGTGAGAAACCACTGTGAGATCTCAGTGTGGTCCTAAGAACACTCACTGTAGGTGTTTGTGGTGTCGCTTGCCAGAGCTGAGAAGTGTTTAGTCCTCATGGTCCCAAGTATACAGCATATTCTGTCAGTCAGAAGAGTTATCGTGGATTTGGAGGTCATCTGGTAGATGACACAGACATTAAGAAACTAGGAAGGAAGGTCAGTGGGTGGTAGAGCGCCTGCCTAAGCTATCACATCCTAAACGCAATCCCTAACACCAAAAAGTGAGCCCATAGGACTGCCCAGGAGGTAGGAAGTTCAAGACAAGGCCCTATCAGAATAAAGGGGGTGAGGACACATAATTCACTGATAGAGTGTGCTTGCCTCCCGTGCATGACTTCAGGGTTCAGTCTAACTAGTAGGAAGTAAAGTCCCCCTTCCCTTGTGGGTCTGGGAATTGAACCCAAGACCTTGTGTATGATAGCCAAGAGTTCTACCACTAAGCTGCAATCCCCAACCCAACTTAATAGGTTTAGTTTAGAAATAATAACCATATGACTTAAAAGTGAGTTGGAAAATGAGGCTGAGAAGACCCCTGTCTGTTTTGATCTTTGAGACGGGCTGGCCTTGAACTTGGGTCACAAACAAGTACCAACACAACTGGCTTAGAGTTGAACAATGAAAATAAATGATTGGTTCTTGCCATTTTAGATTGTTGGTCCAGACCACTGTCTCCAAGGCAAACTATTTATGTGAATGTGTAATTTAGAGTTGTTCTTTATTTTCTGCATTTAGACTTCCAGTTCACAAACTTGTCCCGCCTTAAGCATCTGATTGTTAACCTTGCCCACACGTGAATGCCATGTAGTATCTGTCTAAAAGATGTTTTACCAAAGCAAAACCAAAGACAACTGTTCTAAGAAAATGTAGGCTGACTTGGCCGCCCTTCTGCAGATCGCTGATCTTCATATTTTCATATGCAGCAATATGATTCATTGCGTTCAGTAAACTTAAAGCTGCTGTTGGCCTCAGGAAATTGTCAAAAACATAAGAAGTGATCAGTGTGAATATTTTTCAGAGATGTAAATATTTCCCACATAAATGATGGTGGGAGGGTCATTTTGCCCATGTTCTGTCGTCTTTTCTTCTATTTTGTTTTCTGTGACCCGGCCTGGCCTTGAACTAGAAACAATCCTCCTGCCTCAGCCACTCTACTACTGATTCCAGACTGGAGCATACCTTGCTTCTCCCCACCTTTCTTTTTGAATCACGTACCTTGAGAGTCCATTGAGTCTAACAACAGCAACTTGTCTTCCTGTAGAGGCCCACCTGTACACAGCCACGCACACCTGCTACCGCTCTGTCTGAGATGCTGCAGTTTTCCTAACTGCTCCTTAATCTGTGTGTGGCCGATTTTTGCTAACCTTGAAAGTACCAAGATACATGGCAAAACAAATACATGTTGTCCGAGCACTTTGGAGAAGATGTAAGGTAGCCCTCGGAGCAGGAGTGGAAGTTTGGGAGTGGATCCTACTCCTTGCTTTAACCTAGTGTTGAAGGGGAGTGACCGTGAAATTGAGCTAATTTTTCCAAAGATCCCCTGTAAGCTGTCCTATCAACAACACATGTTGGCTGGGGATATGGCTTTAATGGTGGAGTGTTTGTCTCTCATCAGTTCAGTCCTCAGCACAGAAACAAACACTCATTTCGGAAAACACATCCACTATTCTTTAACTGGGTCAGTGTAGTGGAACTGTTATAACTTCAGCCTGGGACATAATTGGATAGTCTACAAGAGTGATTTCACCAAAGCGTTTGATGTTGCAAGTTGCTTCTATCTCTGAGGAGCTTGAGGATTAGTTCATCTTGAACACAATGCCTAAAATTAGACTGCTAAGCTAAAAATATGAGTTTGTTCAACTTCTCTTTTCCCAAAAGTAGTTGGAAAAGTTTGTGAAAGTCTTTCAGAAATGGAGAAGTGAGCAAGTTAGAGAAGTTTGGCCAGAGCTTAGTCAGGCTTTCTCTGTGTCAAAGATCAAATAGTTCTCCTAGAGTATTTGACTTTTTCTAAGTCAAGTAAGTATTTTTAGTGCATTTTCTTCGGTAATAATTCAAACATGCAGTAGCTTTCCCCAGTGAGCCTGTAAATCTCAGCTAATCTGGGACATGTTTGGAGTGGTCCCAGCCTGGTTTGAGGGTGCTTTCCATGGTTGTTCACAGGGAAGCGTTTGTCGCTGTCCAAGATGGACATGAGTTTTTTCACCCTGGTTTCAGGAGCCGTATCATCTCCCACAGTACTTGCCCAGCAAGTTTGGGGTGCTGGGTTTGATCCCCGGTACTACCCAGAAAAAAAGGAAGGCAGTTAATATGTGACTCTGTGTTAAATAACGATGTCATCTTTTAAAAATTAAAGATAAATACAGTCGTAAGAGTCAGAAATCAGGGTGGGTACTTAGACTAGTTCTAGGGTTTGTTGTTTGAGACAGGGTTCTTGTAGCCCAGAATGGCTTTAGAACTTGAAGTCCTGCCTCCGCCTTCCAGGTGCTGAAGTTCTGATGTGCCAACAGCTTGCCTGGCTTAGTCGAAGTTGGTGTGTGTGCGTGTGCGTGCGTGCGTGTGTGCACTGCAGAAAACAGCGCCTACCATGTGAATTGAACACACGGGAATGACAGGACGTGCAGGCCCTGTTTTGTGAGGACTGATCCTGGTGTGTGGAGCATTCCCACAACTGTGTGCACAGTCACAAGGTGAGGATCCGCCCTGCATGGATCAATGTCAGAACTACTTAGGGCACCTGGTTATTCTGTTCTAGGAGTTCTGGAATTCAGCCAAATAAATATTCTTGCTTTGAGTATAATGTCTGATCTGTGCATGTGCTACCGGTGTCTCCGGTTCTGGTTTCCTGTCAAACCGCTGCCAACGCCATCGCCCTCAGTACCGCCAGCCGCCTGCTCTCATCCATCCTCTTCGTGGTCAGTGTAGCTGAGTTTTCCGTTATGGCTCAGGTACCCTTCCGGAGGTTGCCTTCCTTGGGTGACTAGGAATGAATGGCTGCCTTCACATCCCTAAGTCCGTCCGTCCGTCCCCCCCCCCCCCCCCCCCCACACACACACACACTCCTTCTCTTTCTCTGTGTGACAGTCCTAGGGCGAGGCTGCTCTTGAACTCGCTGAGATCCTCCTGCTTCTGCCTCCCACTAAGTTACCTTTTTCGGTGAATATAGGCAGCTGGGTCTGCAGCGTTTGCTGTTTGGGAGAAACTGAGTTGTTCAATGACTTTGAGCAGAATAGGAAGAGACGGCACGATCCAAGACTGGGCCTGGTGGGCTCGTTCTTATTGTTGAAACGGGAAAAGAGTGGACATGTACTTGACCCGCTGTGTCAGCATAAGGAACACACACACACACACACACACACACCACCTAGATAGGTACAGGGCCCAGACAAAGCGGAGGAAGACCTTTCACTTGCAATGATCCGTTATGGATAGCTGTGATCCCCTCCACTTTCAGCAGTCTCGGCTTATTTGAGCTCCAGGCACCCAGCTCCAAATTGAGTCACTGGATGGAAAGAAAACTGTGTTAAAAGCTGAAAGGTCCGTGTGTGTATCTCATCAATTGTCAAGACGTGTGGAGAGGTCAAAAGAAGCCAGGAAAGCCTCGAAGGAAGAGGCTGCAGTGTGACGGGCTGAACGGGAGAAGAGGTCATCCAGGGGGGGCTCACCTAGAGCCTCACGGGAGAAGAGATCATGGGGGGGGGCTCACCTAGAGTGATTATTAATAGTGCTTATCAAAATGATAATTGAGAATCTATTACACAGCTTTTGCAATATATAAAAAATCTAGAACTCTGTAATAATGAGTATAAATGGCACTTAAGATTTGAAGCAATAATGTGTTATGGAAAAATATCTAAGTTATGGAAATACTGGTGAAAATCAGAACTACAGTGAACACTGCTATTGTCTGTTCATAATTGAAGAAGATGTAAAATTTGCGTTAAAACTTAACAAAATTTAAGGTGGTCTTTCCCTCCCCCCAACCCCATGCAAGTTCAAACACCTGAGTAGTCTAGTAAGGAGCTCAAAGAATGAGATGACAGAGGGTGTAGATAAGCCTGGATAAAACGTGGGGTTTACAGGGAGGAAAAGCCGTGGAAGTGGCTATGGAGTAGAGGTTTCTCCTGCCCTGGCCCTGCTGTGGTGATGTAGGGGTGGGGAAGGGCTGTGCCTTAAAGGCAGCCTTGCTCTTGGACACTGCAGAGAGGCCCGGCAGTGTGACTTACAGAAAAGGGCATATTGCAAATCAGCTGGCAAGTGGGCAGAGAGGAGCCTGTGCTCAAGCAGGCTGGTGCCTGCACAGGAGACACGGCCATGATTCATAGGACAGAGTAGTGGAGGCATTGGTGAGAGACCCTGGCTCGAAGCTGCTGAAGCCTCTCCAGAGCCCACTGCCTGTGCCCGATTTCCAGGTAGGATTCCAGTGAGTACTGTTGGAGCCCTGAAGAATTGTCTCTCAAGAGAGGGACGTCCCTGAGGTGTGAGGCTTGAGGGCATGGTGTGAACAGGGACGGAGGGAGGGGTTGGCGTCTGGCAACACATCATCAAATGTTCTTTCTGTTCTGTTTTTATTGCTGGCCCCAAACCATTGAGATCTGGTAAGTAATCATAAAGATCTAAGAATTGTTTAAAGTCAGGACTTGCCATTCTGTTCCAAGGGAGGATTTGGGGGTCTTCATGAATAAAGAAGAGAAACATGAAGTGGAGTAGTTAATTATATGTGGGGGTTTGTATAACTAGGCAAACCGACATGTTTGCAGCTCAGTTTCTTCCTAGTCATTTGAAATGTGTAGGAGAATTTGCTTATTCTAATTAGGAAATATGTTAGCTTTAAGAAAAATGTTAATATTTTGCCCCCTTTTGTTTGTATCTACCCCTTTTATGTGGCACTTGATCTCTCTTAAATCTAACAGTGCACTGGTCAGTCACAGACTGAGTCTCTCTCCATTTGTTTGTTTAAGGAACTAGCTCTTCGAAGCCAGTTGCCCACACTGGAGCAGGATGGAGGAACTCAGAATGCCGTGTCATCTGGGATGTCTCAGGAATTGAGAACAATGACAACCAATAGTTCAGATCCCTTTCTTAACAGGTTAGTGAGTGCTGGCCAATACCTGAAAAGGATCCTTGCTTCATTGTTCCGCTCTGTGCCTTGTCCTGGCTGTTTTGAACATCCATGTGGGCCAAACCCCGGAACTGTCCGCCACCTCTCCACAGTGCCAAGCGCAGTCACATCCTGCACAGGAGGGCGAGCTGTTTAGGCTTGTGGAAAGGATCTGGGTTAAAGCCCCAGCGTGCTTGCTTCTGCCTATACTCCATGCTGACATACTTGTGACGGCAGTCTTGAGGGGTGTGTGGGTGCCTCCGTGGAAGCGAGCAAGCAGCATCTTAGCCCTGAGCATGTTAGTGGAGGATTGGAGGCTGTAGCTTTCCTTCTGTAGAGCTAGCTGCTCAGGTAAGGCCTCGTATTCTTTAAGGCTCTCATCTAAGGAGATAAAATATAAAGTTGTGCCCCACCCAGAACTGTAAACTTGGTGGCATTATTTTAAACAGTACAATGTGCAGGTGCCTTCTTGATGAGTTTCCAGTCTCTGGGTCTGGGCTTCACGTGGACGAGGTTCACACTGCTGCGTTGAAAGCTACCACCCATGGGTCATGTATTTTTTATGCTTTGAAACCGTTTATAATTAATATTTAACTGAAACCTCTCCTGCTGTGTTGATTTTGCTTTTTAAAAAGGTTAGAATACTCGGGGGTAGACTCCCTCCTCCCCCAAATGCTTTTAAGCAACATATCCCCTCCCTCCTCTCTTTTTCCTCTTTCATTTTGAGTCAAGATCTCTCTTTTAGCCCACACTGGCCTCAGGTGGTCAGTGATCCTCCGACCTCAGCCTCTAAGGTGCTGGGACAACCTGCTTGAGCCACATGGAGCACATTTGTAAAACTGGCTTAGGGAACGTGGCGGATCTCTGAGTTCAGGAGAGCCGGGGCTATGCAGAGAAACGCTGTCTTGAAGACCACCCCCCCCCCCCAAAAAAAAAAGTTTATTAACTATTTTTAATTTTCAAAAATTAATTTGAACAGAAAGTAAAATTGAATTTCCTGTCGTCCTTGCTGCTTCTTGGAGTAAATTAGTGCCAGGCACACCTTCACTTCAGCACTCGAGGCAGAAGCAGGGGTGAGGTCTGTGAGTAGTGAGAGCTTGTCAAAAGAAAGGAAAGACTGGAGTTGGCCTGGCAGGCAGGTGTGTTTTCAAAGGCTGTGAGAAGTCAGGCCTGGGGTGTTTTACTCATCGTGACCCCGTCACTTGGGAGGCTGACATAGGAGTTCAGTTCAGCTGCTGTGTAGCACGTTCCGGGACAACCTGTAAGACCCTGTCCGCAAACAAAGTGAAGGTATTGTTTTTTAAGTCTCATTTACTACACGCACACAGAGAGATGCAGAATTTAAAGTTTCTATCTAAAGTCCCATACATTTATACAAGTATGTGCTTCTGAACTGGAGATGGTGAGAAAAGGCACTACCACAGAATCTTCCAGGAGAAAGGTTTCAGAGCTGTTCAAGTACCTGTTTTGTTGAAGGCTTATCTGAGGATTAAAATCCAACTGGCAGGGACTGACTCTTCAGACCTGAAACCTAGGCATGCCTGTGAGATCAGTGCAGTTCTTCCCATTACAGAATCTTCTGTTTACTTGTGCTGTTCTTTCCTGTTTCAAGCAAAGCCTTGCTCTGCAGCCCAGACTATCCTCAGACTTAGACACCCGATGTCTTTTCTGTTGCTTGCTAGTGAACCAGATCTGCACCTTGAAGCTCAGCACCACCCTGTGCTGCACGTCCGCCTGTGACTCACAGCTGCTGTTGCCGCACAGCAAGAATGTGCTTCATAGGATGTGTGTTCTTTTCCACACCATCTTAACCCCTGTCCATCGAGCTGCTCTGATGCCCGTCAGGTTGTTGTAGACACTCAGCAGTAACTAGGGTTTGATAGAGAGCAATTGTAGCCAAGAAAACAGTATGCGCTCTCCCCAGATCACAGTGGGCTTCCCCTGTGCCTTCTGAGAGTCCATAAAGTGTTAGTGTCTTCCTTAACACACTGAGTTGTCTGTTGTGTGTCCCATGTGAGGACAGCAACCCAACATTCAAAGCTAACAGGCATCCTGAATGCTAACAGTCTCAGAGGCAAGTTTGTGTTTCTTAGATTTTTGTGAGGCTTCTGAATTTTGCCAAAATCTGACAGAAGCGTTGGCATACAGCAGTGTTTGTCATCCACAAGGTGATGAGGTAGAGGATGGGACATTGAACAGTTAGGGAAGAAGGGTGGAGTAAAGCTTTTCCCAGTGCTGAGGTGGGGTCTGGTGGGTGGTTTTGTTTTAAACACTTTAAATGTCCACCGTGTAAGGAGAGTCAGTCTACATTTGTGGCCAGAAACCAGGAGGAACAACAGCTGCCCTTGGGGCTTGGGTTTTGTTTTAGTTTAGTAGAATGCAGGTTTTCAGTTAATACCAGCCACACTTCTCTGCCTTCCCATAGGAAAGTGTTCATTTGGGAATTTTCAAGGCTGTCTTCTGTTGATCCTGAGTGCAGTCTTGAGACTTTCCATTCAGCCTTAAGTACAATGCTTGCTGGTGCCCGTTTCTTCCGAAGGCCCTTTGCTCTGGAGCTGGGGCCTCTTATCTGGTGCTGGAGTGTTTGGGTGCTCCCCTCCCCCAACAGAAGCAAGAAGATCTAGCTGTGGGAATTCTTATCTGCAATGACTCATCTGTTTTGGCAAAAAGATTCTGGTTCTTTATTTGGGCTTGGCTTTTTGTTGGCCTAAGTTTTCTGCCTCAGGAGCTGGGAGTTCAACATGAGCCTAATGTGGACTTGCCCACCTGGAGTGTATGTTTTGACCTCTCTGCCTGGGTCTGTATGAAGCCTCTAAGCTTCAAGGTAGTTAATGGAACTTGACACTTTCTTTCTCAATTGCCACCAAGCTCAGAACCCTAGAATTAAGATTCTGGCCCACTAACGGTTGTCCCTTTTAGATAGGACAGGCTGTCTGGCTCTGAAGAGGCATCGCAGGGCAAGGATTACTTGTTGATCCTCTAATGCATGCTTACTGTTTGCTCTGAATTGATTAAAACCTTTTCTGTCTAATTTTTCCTAGTGGCACCTATCACTCTAGAGATGAGAGCACGGACAGTGGCCTCAGCATGAGCAGCTACAGTGTCCCTCGGACCCCGGATGACTTCCTGAACAGTGTTGATGAAATGGATACAGGCAAGTATTTATTTATTCACTCTGAGTAACAGGTGGTCATTGGTTCTGATCAACTACTTTGAGCAAAGATAAGAACTTTAAGTCAGATTCAGCCCATTTTGTTTCTCCTTCCTTCTTTCCTTCCGTCTTTCCTTCCTTCGATAGGGTTACCCTGTATGACCTGGGACTCAAAGAGGCCCTGCCTGGAGTGCTGAGATTAAGGCACGAACCTCAAAAAACACTGGTTTTTCTTTTCTTTTAGAGATAAGGTCTTGCTGTATAACCTATGCTGACCTTCTGACCCTCCTGCTCTGCCTCCAGAATGCCGAGATTTCAGACACATACCATCTTTTGATGCCTAATGTTAATGTGGGGGGGGGGGGGCTATTAGAAGTCTCTCATTTTAGGCTTGTGTTCTTAATTTTGAATAATTTTTATATGATTCATTGTCTATCTCTTTTCTCTGAATACTTTTGGTTCAGCTGAAGTGTTTAAGGTTTTTCAGGGCTAGGAAGCCAGATGTGGGGGAGTTTAGGGTAAAACGCACCAATTTTTATCACTGAACTAGAGAAAGGGGGCACTCTCGGGGAACTAGCTGGGAGCGACACACTCTTTCCTAATGTCAGTCTTTCATGCCTGCTTTTATCTGATGCACATCCCCTGCTTCCTCTGGGTTCACCTGCATCTGAAACCCCCATTAGCAGCCGCTCAAGCCCACCTCATGTCTAGCCCCATCCTGGCTCCTCTCCCACTCCCTGCAGCACTGACAAATAGTGCTTGTTGTTCTGAAAGTCAGTTCTGATGAAGTTCCCAGAAGGAACGAGGGCTGATGTCATAGATAAGTAAAATAAGTTTTGTGGGCAGGTAAGTTTGAGAAATTTAGAGCAGAGGTCATATGTCTGCAAGGACCTGTGCTGTTGTGAGTGTGGCCTCATGTCTGCGTTCTGTTAGTGTCCCAGAGCGCATCTGAGAGAAAAGACCCTCCATCTTCATCTTAGGAACGGTGGCTCCTTTCTGGGAGAGAGAGAGGAGGCATGAGTGTCATTTCCTTCTGCTGCATACGGCTTTCCAGAGGAGTTTCAGCTCCTGACAGCCCCCATCGGTGGTTATTAGACTTTGTAATGAGCAGCCAGGCTGTGCATCGCATGTCTGAAATGGTGAGGCACGTGTAAGCCTGTGTGTGCTTTTCTGAGGTGGACTCTGGTGAGTCTCTGCTCATATAGCGCATCGATGGTACTCACAAAATACTCTGTTTATCCCTCCCCAAATCTAGGTGATACTATCAACCAAAGCACCCTGCCCTCACAGCAGAGTCGTTTCCCAGACTACCTTGAAGCCATCCCTGGGACAAATGTGGACCTTGGAACACTGGAAGGAGATGCGATGAACATAGAAGGGGAGGAGCTGATGCCCAGCCTTCAGGAAGCACTGAGTTCTGACATCCTCAATGACATGGAGTCTGTGTTGGCTGCCACCAAGCTAGATAAAGAAAGCTTTCTCACATGGCTATAGATGGCCGGGAGGCCACCCTCCGAGCCTGTGAAGGTGTGCATCCCTCAAGTTCAGATGAACCAGTGGCCGAGCTTCTGGCTAACCCGGGAAACATGAACAGATGTCCAGCAGGGAGCCTCCATCACTGTCCGCTCTCCGCCCGTCGCTGCTGTTACTGTTGCTGACCTTCACAGCCAGCCCTGAAGAATCAGAACCACAAAACGACAAAGGCCCTTTGGTTTCTTTTGCTCTGATAGCTACTGTTCTTTTGGGTTGCTGGGGAATACCCTGTCGGATGATGATGGATGTCCTTCCGTTTGCCCAGTGGTGTCTGCACCCATCATTTGAACTGAACACTCAGACTGGGAACTGAAATGCTTCACGGCAGCGCATTTGTTCAAGAGGTGGCTCCTTCAGCTGCCTTTGACCCTCTGGTCCAACAAGCCAAAAAAAACATGGCGTCTGACCTTAGCTGTACTCAGTGCTGTTCGGGAGATCACGGAGACTGACTTTTTATCTCTTCTTCTAGTGATGCCATTAGTCACATGGTGACCTGGATTTTATTTAGAAACTTATATGGCGTGAGACAGTTTCCATAGAAATATATTAATTATTGCCACATACTCTAGGCTAGGATTGAGTGGGTATTTTTGTGGGTGCTGGTCTGTCTTTCTTCCTTTTAAGGTGATTGATTTTCTTGGCATGTAGGCAAATAAAGTAGCTTGGGGTGGGTGGTGCTGTTCTTTTGTGGGGGGCATCTATTTCCTGGCTCTTTACCGTCCTATTTAAATCTTGGTTATCTCCTGTCTACATACGTACACACACTTATAATGTCAACGGTAGTGTGGTAGCAGAGTGTCTCCTTTCAAACGTTTCCCTTCTTGCAAGTTGATTTTTTTTAAATGGTAGCCTTGAACATGCATTTAGAATACATGGCTAGTAGTTTATGTTTCACAGATAGAGCGACCTGCAGGTGTTTGAGGTCGGGCAGTGTTCTAGAAAGGGCTCTTGTGGTAAGGCCTAGGGGAGCTCTTGCCCTCCGTACAATTTGGTGACTGGGACAGAAGCAAATGGCTTCACTCCCCCTTGAGCGGATTCATGTTGAGCAGGAGCGAGCTTTGGAGGCGGGACTTCCCTTTGCCTTCACGTCAGTTTTGGGTGTAAGCTCAAGTACTTGATGAGTTCTCACTTGTAGTGAACACAGTGAAGACCACATTGAGTGTTATCTACAAGGTCATTTTTACAAAACCTGCTCACATTTTCCTGCTGAATGGACCCTGGGGAGTGTGTAGAACGCTGTGAGGTCATGGGAAGGCTGGTGAAGTGATCAGACAGTAATGTGGGGGGTAGTTGAAATTAGCAGAGAACTAGAGATAGGTGTGATTATGCCTTTATTTTTGCAAGAAGAGAGATTGCTAGAGTATGTGTCTCTGGGAGTAATGATGGTTTCCAAAGAGTATTTTTTAAAGGAACAAAATAAGCATGAATTAGCTCTTCAATATAAGCTATAAAGTAATAGTTGGTTATGAACTGTAGTGGTACCAGCTAGCACTTCTGTCTCTTAAGGGTCTTTGCTTCTAGAAGAAGCCCTTATTTTCAAGGGTTTTTAATGAACAAACAAAACATTCTTTCCCTGGCTACAGCTGCTGTAAAAAGCCTCAGCTTTGGAAGATAGAACCTGTTGGCCCTTTGATTTAGTTTGTGCAAGGATGGGAGTAGGAAAGTTTTATTCAGTACTCTGAGTGCTCAAAAATGCAATCAGTGTATTATTTTATGTGATGATTCATAGTCAGAACCAGTGTATTATACGTATTCATAGTCATTTCTAGCCACCGACTCTAAGGCTTCTACTAAGAAAATAGCTGAAGATCCACCCTTGAATTAGGTCTGGGGAAACGGCCACCAGGAGGATGCGTTGACTTTAGTGTAGAAATTAAATTTTACTCGCAATTCAAAATCAAGCAGCTGGAAGACAGCAGTGTGGCGAGTGCCTGCGATTTGCATCCTCTGTATGGGCAGACTAGCTTTAGTGTAGGGAGGGTGGGGAGGCGGGAGTGGGCTGGTGAAGTTAGTGGGGCCGTGATAGAAGCGCTTTTATAGACTTGTTTCTCATCAGTAAAGACTGAACTCTTAAAGTTGTTCCTAAACTCTGAATTGCTTAAGCTCACCACAGAGTGAGATGTGCCATCCTCCTCCTCCCTCGGGATCGTTTGCCTGGTGATACCTCAGTGTCCAGCAGCCTTGGTGCCTGACAGCTCTCTGACCTTCTCAACCCTTTGTGCTGACTGCGGGGACCTGCGCCCCTTTGCTGAATCGCGGCTTCCATGTAGTCTTCTTGATGTGTCCTTCCCGTTGTAGACGTGTGTAATGCTTCCTGACTGTAGTGGGTAGCATGCGGATAAGAATTTAACTGGTTATTCTTGAATTTCTTTTACAATAAACCAATTTTTATAATCTTAAAGTGTATCAGCTTTTTACATTTGCGTTCTTTTTAGTTAGCACTTCTTTTGAGTTCCCTGGGATCAAGAGAGAAGGCCATTGACTGGGGTTTCAGAGCAATCGATGCTCTGTGCATTGTATTGTTTCCTAAACACAGGCCACAAGGAAGCAGCTGTGGGATGTCAGATGAGCATGTGCACTAGAGAAGACGCTGAAGACTGAAAGGACTGAATGACGTAATTTACACTCCATAGCGGTGGGGTTGGAGCGCAAAGGTGGAGGCAGGATCTCTGATCGCTTCAGAGTGCTAGTGCTTCTGGGGGCAGAGATGGATTTCATGTTGGCAAGCATGTTTTTAGAAGGACTCTGGATGTCCTTTCTCCATTGTTGTCTGTACTTTGATAAAATAGTCTCTGTGGTTTTTTTGTTTTGTTTTTTTGAGACAAGGTTTCTTTGTGTAGCCTTGGCTGTCATAGAACTAGCTCCAGGCTGGCCTCTCCCTGAGTGGTGAGGACCACCTGGCTTCTCCATGTTTTTTATGCTCTATTTCTAAACGGTGCACACTTGTACGTCTATACGTGTGTGTGTGTCTAGGTATATGTTATATATAAGTGCTTGCTCGTGTTAGGTACACCTATAAATTGTTACCAAGGAATTTGTATTATTCTGTATTATTCTGCCTTTTTGTTTCCTCATGCGGTTCAAACTTAAACTCTGTTCTTGAACTCTGAAGCGTATTTTTAGTTTTTTGTTTTTTTTTTTTTTAGTTGAACAGCTATGAAACATAAAGTGCAGTCTGCAGCAGCCGTGGTAGACAGGTTGCCTCCAAGAGGTGCGTTTGCAGTGGTTGCACACAGCGAGGTTCTTGACCGCTGTACCCTCGACGCCCCACGTGCATGTGTCAGAGGTACCAGCTTACGTAGAATCTTGTCTGTTTTGCTCCTTATCTAAAACTAAGGTGGACCTGGCACCATCTCTTCTGAAAGTCCTGGTCCTTGATGGAGCTGGGTCTTCCATGCTAGGCAAGGCTCTACTCCCTGGGCCTACCTCCCTACTCCTGCTTTGTTTTTATTTTTCCAAAGCATTCTCTCATGATCTTCAGAATAAGTTATATTTGTGAAAGATTTGTTTTTATAGATACATAGAAAGTGACGTGACCTGGATTTTGAACGAGGAGCAGGTTTGATTTCTTGCATATGTAGTTTCTGATGTTAACACATCAGCTTTGCTCAGGCAGACCTGAGAGCTTTTTAGACTCTGAAATGTTTTTCATATTCCTAAAACAGCCTATGAGACTTGACATTGTTCTCCCTTTTGGCACAAAATACAGGGATTTTACGTCTCAGGACAAACGACTCAGAGCTAGAGGTGTCCGTGCTTAGCATGTGTGACGCCAACACCCAGAGAAAAAGCTCGCCTCGTGCCCACAACACTGCCTCTTGGTAGGGAGCTGCCCAGGGCTGTGCACCGCTGTGTCCACACTTGTTAGTTAAAGACAGCCTAGGGAGTCCCACCGCCAACCCCAGTGGTGATTGGTGCTTACCTCCCCCCCTTCTGCTTCCATTTCTTCACAACCAAGGTTGCACAGAAAGAGCTTTCTCTGAGGGCAGCCAGCCTCTCTGTGGGAGTAAATCTGAAGTGGACACATTCATGCTACTCCACTATATCTGTTGTGTGTGTGCAGTTGCTCACAGAAGCCAGAAGAGGGCGGCAGGTCCTCCCTGGAGCTGCAATTCCAGCTACTTTTAAGTATGTTAATGTTTGCAGTCTCAGACAAACTTGTGGTGAACACTATTTCTTTTTTTTTCCCCCAAGACAGGGTTTTTCTGTGTAACAGCTCTGTCTGTCCTGGAACTACCTTTGTAGACCAGGCTGGCCTTGAACTCACAGAGATCTGCCTGCCTCTGCCTTCCGAGTGCTGGGATTAAAGGCGTGCACCACCACCGCCTGGCTACACTAGTCCATTTTAAGAGCTTACCTGGTGCCCAAATTGAGAGTTGGGAGTGCAGTGGTGGTCCTGTGGAGTCTTCTGTGGTTCCAGGGTCAGAGAGCAGAGCAGTTGGCAGAACTCAGAGCTGTGGTGCCACTCTGAACAACACTGAGCCTCCTCTCCAAAACAACAGGCCTAGTCAGTTCCGTTTTCCCTTCCTCCCCTTCTAGTGCTGGAGAGCCAGGGCCATCAGCATGTTGTTAGCTGAAGGCTTCTGACATCTCCTCAGACTTGTGCAAGTAAGCACTTCTACCCACTGAGCCATCTCCCAGGTCCCCAGATGGCTTTCCTGCGGTGGTGGGTCTACACAGAATTACAGTGGTCTGCCTCCCTGGCCTGCTTGAGGAGGAATTCCTTTCTGAAGCGTGAGTGACAGACTCAGGAAGAACACTGATATTTCTGTACCGTCTGCATGAACTATTGAAGCCAGTGATGCAGACACTAGGAATCCTGACTGAAGGAATGTCACCTTCACAACTTGCATTTAAGTATTCTCACTACTGATGAAGATGTAAGCTTGAGCTGGGAGCGACTCAGCAGGTGAGCACTTGCTGTGGACCAGAGTTCAAATCCACAGCACCGACGTAGACACCTACGAACCCACTGCCTTTGGAAACAGATGGAAGGGATTGTTGGGGCTTTCTAGGTACTAGCTTAGCTATGAGTTCACTAAGAGGAGGAAATGATAGGGCAGGACCCCTGCTATCTGTCTGTCTGCACCCCGAATCTGAGGTGCAGTTTCAATAGACAGCCAAAGTGATGTGTAGGAGACCAGAACTCCTTTTTTACATGTATGTTCTTGGTGTGTGCATGCAGATGCACCTGGCCATGGGAAGAACTTTTTTACATGTGTGTTGTTCTTGGTGTGTGCATACGGATGCACATGGCCAAGGGAAGAACTTTTTTACATGTGTGTTCTTGGTGTGTGCATGCTGGTGCACGTGGCCATGAAATCAGCTCAGATACTCAGGCTTGGCAACAAGCCCCCTTCCTCAGAGACATTGCACTGGCCCATGGTCAGTCATAGCTGTTTGGTTGGAAGCGGCACCCCAGCCACAAACATCCATGAGTCTGAAGTGTTTGGGTCTAGGCTTCACTCCAGCCCCTGGCATCCATTCAGGGATGTTTGGGTGAAACTTTCCATCCAAGGCCTCTCCCCTCAGTTGCCTCAGTCCAGACTCCACCTCTGAGAAAGCCCAGTGACCCCTCCCCAGAGACGCTTGAGAACTTGTCCATAGGCTATTTAAACTGCCCCACGGAGAATGAACACGTCCATAGGCTATTTAAACTGCCCCACGGGGAATGAGCACGTCCATAGGCTATTTAAACTGCCCCATGGAGAATGAACACGTCCATAGGCATTTAAACTGCCCCACGGGGAATGAGCACGTCCATAGACTATTTAAACTGCCCCATGGAGAATGAGCACGTGGACTCTCCGGTCTTCCTTTCCCCTCTCCATCCCTGGTGGGACCTGGAAGGCCACCCGAAAGTGCTGGCATCCATTAAACCTGGGCTTTTTTTAATTCGGTTTGATTTGGTCTGATTTGGACGGAGAGGCTTATCAGGCTATTAAAGAAAAACCAATAGCTAGTCACTTACTATGAGTCAAGACCTTCCGTTTTAATACAAATATTTTGTATGGTTCTATTCTTTTTATTAAATATTATTTTGTGGGTGTGGTGGCATTTATGTAGAGATCAATTTGGTTGGAGTCTGTTCTCTTACCATGTGAAATTCAGAGATAGATCCTCCTGCCTCTGCCTCCCTCGTGCACCACCACTCCCCAGCTTGCCTTGGGGATTTCTTAAAAGATTTATTTTTAATTGTGTGTATGTATATGCACATGAGCGCAGGTGTGTGTAGACTGGAGGAGGACACAATATTCCCCAAAGCCGGAGGTACAGGGATTGTGAACTGGCTGTTTGGATGCTGGGTACCAGCCCAAGGTCCTCAGCAAGAGCTGTATAGGCTCTTAACCAGTCCCTGAACCTTGGCTCTGGCCAGCCTCGGATTTATGAGAGCTGTAAAGACACTTTAAGGAGCAAGCAGCTGGCTAAACTAAAGTCACTACCCAAATTCACGTGTGCCTAATCTTCTCCAATAAATTGCTCACACCCATATTAAGTCCTGTTGGAGTAGACAGAGGATGCAGATTGGAGGTTTCAGTCTTTTGTCATCAAAACCATTGTACAGTACAGGTCTCCATTCTAGCTGAAGACAGTTTGTCGGGGCATATGAGCGTTAAAGAGCTCAAGGGTTTCTGGGGGAGCCTCATCTTGGCCTGGAATGGAGAGGCTAGTCCTGGACAAATAAGGGGGGCAATTACAGAATTTGAACTAAATTTTTGATTTAAAATATAAATTACTGACCAGACCCTTACCGGTTTTCCTAACTCACTGGAACAGAATCCCTAGACTGAACTTTCCAGTTCACTGTTCTGAAACCTGTGCTACTAAAATGGCAGAATAGAACAGGCAGGTTGGTGGTGCCCGACTGGAGCCACTTTGGGAACTGAAGTCTCAGACTGTTTCCTAGCAGGATAAAGGGCAACGTGACTGTGTTGAACACACAGATACTGACTGTGCACAGTGCATGGGTGCCGACTGACACTTGTACAGCACATGAGTGCTGACTGAGAGTGCACAGCACACAGATACAGAATGTCTGTGCACATCTCACACATACTGACAGTGCACAGCACGGTGTAGTGAGGAGGCGAGCAGGCCTGCTTTTCGTCCCGTCCAGCTCCCGCATGGCTAGCTTTACACCTAAAATAACAACACACAAATTGTATTCTTTTAAACACTGCCTGGCCCATTAGCTCTAGCCTCTTACTGGCTAACTCTCACATCTTGATTAACCCATTTCTAATAATCTGTGTAGCACCACGAGGTCGTAGCTTACCGGGAAGATTCAGCATGTCTGACCTGACTGCTGGCTCCATGGCGTCTGACCAACTATGCTTTCTTTCTCCCAGCATTCTGTTCTGTCTACTCCACCTATCTAAATTCTGCCCTATCAAAAAGCCA